CGAGAGAGCTAGCAGAAGATGGGTCGACGGCCTGGTTAGCACCGATCTGCGCAGTCCAACGACAGATGAAGTAGCGTTTAAGCTTCGACACGGCACCAAGGCTATCGACACCCTCGTCGTCCGATTTGGGACTCGCCAGAATAGTCTTTTCGGGCGCGCTCCAGCGCTTGACGAGATGCCATTTGAGGCGAGCGATGTGACCATCTGGGCGGACATATTCACGAGGACCCATACGAGACCACAAGGAGGGGTTCTCGGTAGCCATTTCGTGAAAGAAGTTCTCATAAATTCCACGCTGGTAAGGGGTTTGGCGCTGGCGGGCGATAATGTGCTTGACAACGTACCAAGCGGCGAGCACACAGAGCATGAAGGGCACGCATGATATAAAGTACCACTTTATGCTAGGGTTATCGGCAAATGTGTCGACATTCATACCTAGAGCGAGTTAGAATAGGATAGAGCGGGAAAGGGGTAGCGCTGAGGGATGTGCAGGTATTTGAGACCTACCGAAGAAGCCCACTATGAATGTTAGCGGCAAGAAGATAAATGTTATCCAACTCAATCGCCACACTAGATAGTTGTGTTAGTGAAAAATACAACTCCAACATGACGAGAGGGCACGTACTGCTGACTCCAAGTTGGATGCTATGTCTGCTATCGCGAATTGACACGCTTTGATAGAGTAGCGAAATTAAAGTCTTAGTTGGCTTGACCAAGTCCTCTTCAACCAACGTGCTAAGCCTGTCATAATCTCCTGGGATACTGTCGAGCCACGTATCGTCGGTGTCCAGATCATCTGCAACGATAGTCAGTACGGGGCATATTAAATTGGTACGGGAAATAACCCTAGATGAGGAAGATAATATACCATCTAATTCCCTTAATCTTGGCCGCATCTCTTTGATAATATCAATATGTATAAACAGCAGCTTTTCTACCTTCAGCCAAATACTTGAATTCAGCCACAGCTCTGGTGCCTTCGTCTCGTCGGCTGGCTCTTCGTAGATCTTGTCTTCCAAAATACTAACGTGGTCCATAGCAAGATCCAAAAAAGCATCCCACTCCAGCACCAGTGCCTTGAAAATATCCTCTAGGATGATCCTCGAGCACTGGAATGCAAGCTGCTCGTCCGTGGCAACGAGGTCGCGAGATTCGAATGCCAGGAAGAAAGGGAGCCGGCGCCAGCGTGATTCCCAGACGCCTCGTGCACCAATCAAGGTATCCTCGATGCTGTTGTTGTGTGAATTATCAAATATGAGAATAGCGTTGCCGTTATCGAGTGTGTTGAGGCGCGGGATGTATTCGTTCTTCAGGCGATTTTTCGCACTGTCGGTTTTCGCGGGTTCAATGATGTAAGGGTTCTTGATATCCGGGTTCGTAGGCACCTCAATGGAGGTCTGTTTGTGTTGGATATAACAACTGACGCGTTGGACATAGACATCATAGCCGTATTTGGGGTTATCTAGCCGCAACGCAGAGTTCCATTGCTCAGCATTAATGATTCCCTCCATATAAGCTTTGCTGTGTTCAACTACCTGTCTGGAGGCCTACCGTTTTCATCGAAACAATTCAGCTCCATCATCTTCAGGCTATAATCCTGCTCATGCCGGGCCCTCGCTTTGCGCTCCATCGGTTCATGGCAACGGTATTGTTTGAAATAATCTAGGCCAAAGGACGTCTTGCTAATCCCGCGCCACGGGTCATATTGTACCTTCCACGTCTTCCCGCTCAGGAAGGGCTTCCCTCCGCGTCGTTCGGGGCGCTTGTGGCGGACATAACGGCCAAAGTTGGTGCCGACAAGATCGTCCCGGTTGTCGATATTGAACTTGCGCAGGAGATAATTGGTGGCCCACTCTGCATTCTGGACATGGAAGACACGCAGCACGGCTTCGTCATTTCGTTCCTGATTGGCGTATACCCTACGGAGGTGTTCGAGGTCGTAGATTTCCTGCGCGGCTACTTTGCGCATTCCGACTTTGCAGTCATCTAACGCCCAAGAGAAAGCAATTAGTTCCATGCTCTATGAGCCTATTACACATATCCCCAGTTCCTAAAATCTATACACACCCTGTTTGACGAAATCGATGATCAGGACCCTCCCGCTGAATATGTCTATCTCGGAGTACTCCTTGTGCCATTTTGGGCCAAGGTCATGCTTCTGTGTGTGTCGAGCTAGAGGTTCTCAGGGACATGTGATAAGCTTCCAGCCGGACAGAATAACCAGGGTAGAAGGGATCCCATGCTCCATACTGCCAAATCTTCTATAAGGTTCATGCACAGTCGAGAATTCCTCAGCAACTCGAGGAGACGGAGCAGGAGAATGCGGGCCATGGATATCGACTCCAGAGAGGAAGATGAAAGATATCAGCAAATCAGTCCAGACTTGGGTCTGAGCAAGGAACAAGCATACCATGGTCGTTCGGCGGTAGAGAACCAAGGTTTCTTGTGTCTAGGCGCGGCTGTGGCCGTCCTCCCGTCGTCGGTGGCGGGGCTGAGGAATGGGGGCTGCCTGAGTCTCCCATCCTGGAAGCATAAAAGTGAAATCAGTCTATTACTTCCTGCATGAAATAACGAGACATAACCCTGGAAGAATGAAGATGCGGAGCCGTCGATACAGAAATCAACATCTGAGGAAGAATACGACCTATGAGTGGGAGGTGAAAACTATTTATGTTCATCATTTTTTAAGACCAGCACGCTTGGCCTTCTGTGGCTGACAAGATCAGCCGCTGTTCTGTTGACCCAAAACGAGCTCTTAGTGACGGCCAAGCACAGAGCTGCTCAGCGATTAACCTGCCTGTGTAGGCACCTGAGAGGCGCTGAGCAAAGTCGGACTTCGGTCGCTGTGGTCATCTGGATAGCTTCTGGTTCATGTTCATGGGCGCAGATGACTCGGGAAATTATACGCGAATTGAACCTACAAAGTACGGAGTAAAAGGGAGACTACGGGTTCCTCCCGGTTTGTATTTGGGCAAGGCTGTGCTCCAACAGAAGCTGAAGACCAGAAATTGCCCTTGAAGGTGCATTGAATCGCTCTGGTAGACGTTTGCAATTTCTTGCCAATCACAAATGTTATTGTTATTATAATACGACCACAAGGATCATGATACTCGTACAGTACATACGAAAAAGACCTGTTGCAAACAGCCACAGATACGAATATTTTCAAGTTATCCTTCGGGACAGGTTCGGCGTTCCGGCGACGTTCCAGGGTCCGTCCAGGGGTCTTTCGGGGGAGCAGGTCCCGAATTTAGGGGCCAAAGCGGTGGGCCGAGGGCCTAGCCTTTCGAGCCAAGGGACATGCAGACGAATGCCCCGCCACCACCCCGCCTGCGATTTCCAGGCCGTGGACGCAATATCAACAGCGACCGCGGTGACGCAGAGCTTTATCAAACCTCATATATAAACCTGAATTAAACAATTCAATCCCTTTTACTACGTTCAGAATCCCGAGGACTAATTTCACACGGCTTTGATACACTCAATACATTGCACATTTCGACCAATTAGTCTCAATCATGTCCACCTACACCGTTGCCAGCGGAGACTCCATGTGGGCAATCGCTGTTGCTCACGGTATCTCGCTTGACGCTCTGATTGCCGCAAACTCGCAGGTATCAGACCCCAGCCAGATCGAAGTTGGCCAGGTTTTGAATATCCCCGGCAGAGATGCTCCTGCGAATTCCACTCCCGCTGCCAATGTTCCGCCCCAGAAGGAGGGTGGAGGAGCCCCCGCCGCCGCTCCGCCGGCCCCTTCAGTGCTTCCTTCTCTTCCGCCGCCGGTTGAACTGAACCCTAACAATGAGGGATTTAAAACGGTTGGGTATTTCACCAATTGGGTAAGCCTTTTGCTCTCTCTCTCTCTCTCTCTCTCTCTGTCTCTATAGAGCAAAAATAGCTTTGATGTATACTGGTCTATGCAATTCAATTGGATCCTATACTCTTCGGAAGGGAATAACAATTCTGGTCAATAACTAACTACTATTGTTTTGCTAGGGTATATATGGACGTAACTATCAACCTCTGGATATCCCCGGGAATCATCTCACACATATTTTGTGTAGGTAAAATTGAGTGAAGAAACCATATAAAAATATGAAATGAGACAGGAAAGTACAGTACCTACAATAACTAAATATATGTTAATTATAACTTATAGATTCCTTCGCAAACGTCAAACCAGATTCCGGTGAAGTGTATGTCCAATGCAAATAAGTCACCATCACGCGACAAAGGACTGTACAAAAACATTTAGCTAACCCGCCGGTTGCCAGCTACCTAAGTGACACATACTCCGATCTGGAAAAACACTACCCCGGCGACTCCTGGGACGAATCAGGAGAGAACGTCTACGGTTGCGTTAAACAGCTTTACCTCCTAAAAAAGCATTACAGACATCTAAAAACCCTCCTCTCCATCGGCGGCTGGACCTACAGCGCAAATTTCCCCGCCCCCGCCTCCACACCCACGGGCCGCCAAACTTTTGCCCGCACCGCTGTCAAGCTCCTCGCAGATCTCGGCTTCGACGGCATCGATATCGACTGGGAATACCCACAGGACGATGCACAGGCGCACAACTTCGTCCTCCTACTGCAAGAGACCAGACTAGCACTGGATAGCTACGCAGCCCAGCACGCGCAGGGCAAACGGCTACTACTGACAGTTGCCGTCCCCTGCGGCCCGAGCAATTACAAGAAGCTGCGCATGGCAGAGATGGACGTGCATCTCGACTTCTGGAACATGATGTGCTACGACTTTGCGGGCAGTTGGGATAGTAAAGCGGGCCACATGGCCAATGTGTTTCCGTCAAAGAGCGTGCCGGAGTCGACCCCGTTCAATGCCGATGAGGCCGTCACCGCTTACATCGCCGGCGGCGTGCATCCGAAGAAACTCGTCTTCGGCTTGCCGCTGTATGGCCGTGCGTTTGAAAATACTGACGGCCCCGGGAAGCCGTTCCAAGGGGTCGGGCAGGGATCGTGGGAGAATGGAGTATGGGACTATAAGGTCCTGCCGCAGCAGGGTAGTGAGGAGATGAATGACCACGAGCTATTTGCTAGCTGGAGTTACGATAAGACTGCCAGGAAGATGATTAGCTATGATACACCAACGATTGCGGCGGCGAAAGTGGATCACATTCGCCGAAGGGGGATGGGGGGTGGGATGTGGTGGGAGCTTAGCGGTGATGCTCCAATAGGGAGCAAACGGAGTCTGATTGCAAAGACAGTCGAAGGGCTTGGAGGAGTCAGGAATCTGGATCACAGTATGAATTTATTGGCGTATCCGGTTAGTCGATATGAGAATATGAAGAGAGGGTTTCAGTAGGTAGATTCCCCGCGGTCGAAGCTATGATGCGTTAGTTAATGATTTTGACAAGTTATTGGATTTGGTACAACGATAGTTCAGTTAGCTATATAGCAATTTGGCCTTTTTTTGCATTATTACTAAAATTTATCTCCAGAGTCCACTGTCATCAATATTGTTGCGATCTTATGCAGCGTCTATGATCTATTTTAGCCTCTGGATTTTCATTTTATAGCAACCATTCAATTTCGGAAGTGTTTTTACAAAAGACAATTCTAATAAAGCGCGAAACGGAATATCGTTTATCTAATAGATATTGAGATGCCCAATTTAAAACTTTCATCCCACCCCTCTCAATATACACATAGAAGGCCTATCTATTTAGACATCCACAGCCCAGTAATCGCCCAAGGAGAAAATCGAAATATAGTCAGGTGTAACAAGAATTGATCGTATTAAATCACAATAACTCCTCAACTAAATTTTCTCTCACTAAGAATAACGAAGAACACAATGCCAGTCGGGGGGAAGCAGAGTGTAGATAGAAAGGAGAAGAAGGGAGAAAGGGGGAGGGGGAAGCATCAAAGCATAAGCAATAAAAACCCCAGACCTCGAGAAAACTTGCAACCCCTCCTAATCTGTCCGTCCATTCATCAGTTGCCGCAACTATAAACTGTATCACAAGCTAGAAAGTTACCATGCCGATGTTTCGCCGATAACATACCCGGAGTTTTTATAAGAAGCTTTCCAAGCAAAGAAACATATAATTAAAAGGAGAAATGCCATAAGAAAAAGAAACAGAATGCCAGCCCAGGTACGTATAATCCATAACATTATGAAAATGAAACTGGAGGAGAAAGAAAACATCTTAGAGAGTCAAGACAAAAATCCATTACATCTCCCCACGTTCTTGTCATTCAGACCCCATCCATCCATCAACACGGGCAAAGAGAACGACATCCTTATAGCGCCTCAGTCTCAGGTCTCAAGCCCCAACGCTTCGCAAAAATCCGGTTGATGACCCTACCAGCTAACAAGAAAACCCAAATAAGAACAAGAAACTGTTTATTCAGCCCTCCCCTGCGTAACCTTCGCAGCCTGAATAGCCGACATCTTTTGAGTCCAGCCCTGTGTAGGGTGCGGCTTCTTCACCGTACGCAGGTCATCTGATGAGAACCCTGGAATGCGCATGTTATAGTTACGTTCGAGGATGAGTTGGATATCGCGAATATCAAGCGTTGACGCCGGGCGGAGTTTAGCCAGGCGGCATGCTGCAGTGATAGACATCGTCGACGAAGTCATCTGCCATTTGGAGAATAAACT